GATTTTTGAGATAGTTGCTGAACCGGCGGAATTCTTAATTTCAGCCCTATTCGCAAGATCAGCAATTTGAAATTTAGCAGGAACTTTTCAGATTTGCAGATGTAGAATCTTAAGAAGAAAAGCATCGCTTACTATAGAGTGAGTAGAATAGTTATAAAAGATAAGATCGCACTTAAAAGAATTATAAAAGCGAGCGTTAAAGTAATAAGTAAAGTATTATAATAGTAATTATAGGGCTATAACCTTTAAAAAAAGAGATAAAGTACTATTATAAAGCTTAAATATATATATCTTATAATTAAAGAAGAAACTTAATTATAAACAGCTTAGGCCTTTTAAAGTACTAGAGAAAATAAGTATATAAACTTATAAGCTAAACCTCCCTACTAGATATAAAAGAATCTATTTTATATTTTATATATCGCTATTAAAGCTATAGTACTCGCGTAATAATAATTCGAAGTTATAAGTAGTCTTAATTAATAAAGAAGAAGAGTAAGAGATTAATAAGATACTAGATAAAAGAGTTCGTAAGGATAAGACTAAGTACCTTATTAACTAAAAAGACTTCTTATCTTATAAAGCTTTATAAGAATTAATAAAGTATCTCGAAAATATTAAAGATATAATTAAGGACTTCGAGTAAGTAAAGAAATTATATAAATTAATATCTAAGATAAAGTTAAAGACGTAATCGTTAAGGGGGGTTAAGAAGTAAGAAAGATCGCGAAAGTAATAGTAGTATAGAAGCTTTAAAGAGCGAATAAGTTATAATTAAAAAACTTAGCGAAAATAGCTAAAATACTTATAAGCCGATTTTAAAGCGCTAAGATATTACGTATAATAAGAAAAATGGCTATTAGAGCTATATATAAGACTATTACTACTTAATATTAGTTTATTTATTATCTTATATTAAGAAGTAATTACTTACTTAAAAGATTTACTAGATAATAAAAAGATCTAATATAAGAGATAGTAAGAGAAGTAGCTAGAGAAGAGGCGAAGACGATAATATTACGCCGAAGTTCCTTGATACGATAAGCCGCTACATATATTAGCTATATACTCTAATATATATTAATAAAATTTATATTAATTTAGTAGCGAAGGATAGTATAAATATCTTCGTTAATACGGGTCGCTTATAAGATATTACTTTAATAGATAGAAATCGAGTCTACTACGTATATATAACCCTCGCGAAAATATTATCTATACTTATACTAGCGCGAGCTAGTAGAAAACGCGATATAAATCGTATAAGAATTATATACGAGAGTATATATATAATAATAGTAAAAGGGAATTAGTATACGTTAGCGTAATCTCTTAATTATTTAATATCTCTTTTACTTATAATCGATATTCGAAGTATAGATAAGAGAAGTAGCGACGAGAGTAGCGATAGAAGTAGTAATAAAAGTAGCGATAAGGAAGGCTAATAGCCTTCTTAGCTAAGTACTTCTTTAAAACGAATATAAATATCTATTAGCAACAGCGTAAGGCGTAGAGACTACGATGATTACGAGTACTTAATAACTCGTAGAACTACGAGAGCGAAGGTTTAATACTACTATCGATATATTAATATACTTCTTATACTATTTATAAAGTATCGTAAAGTATTCTTCGAGATACTTATTATATATAAAGTTAATCTAAGTAATTATAACTTTATTTAACTATTATCTTAATCGATATATATACTATATTATTACGATAATATATAGCTTATTATCGCGATACTACGATAAAAACGAATAAAGATAAGATAGTAGATATAAAGAAGAATTAGATACTTACTTATAATAGCGTCGACGTTAATATTATTACTAAAAAGAATAAAAGTTAAATTGAAAATAAGTCTTTTATACTTACTAGTATAACTTTCAACGATTACTATAATAGAATTATTATAATTATAAAGTAATAATATAATAATAGCGTATAGTAATAGCGATAATAGTATATCGTAATAGAGTAATACTACGTCTATATTCTATTAACTAAAATAATAATACGTATAGTAATACTATCGCGATTTAGTATATAAATATAATAATATACTTAAGAAGACCTTAGGGCATATAGTATAAATACGCTATTATAGTATACGTTAGTTTAGATTACGTCTAAGCTAATAATAGATAATATAGATAATACTAATAAGTTTATACGTATTTAATTATAAGGCGTAATAATAATAAGATTTAAAAACTAAATCTTTTAAGAGAGGATATAGTTATAAGAATAGAAGTACTTAAAGCGAATTAATAGACTCGCTTACGTCGCTTATTAGACTATAAGCTATATAACTAAGACGAGTATCTAATATACTTAATAAAGTCTTAAATACTTACGAGTTTCCTTTTCTCTTCTTTTTTCTTTAGTTATTAGTTTATCTAGTAACTAATTTATCTATTCTATTAACTACGTATCTAGACCTCGTAATTATATAGCTACTACGCAGTTTTATTAAAAGAGATCTTACTATCTT